GACTGCACGAGTTCTGCCAGTCCGGGACGCGCTGCCTTCCGGCTCGCAGACTCTACGTGCTTCGCCAGTGGCTCACGAGCGCTGGGGGGACGGTCTCCCTTTCCTCAGCCCTCCAGCCCCCTCTCCGGAGTCAGGGTGCGGAGCCAGAGCGAATCGCTCTCCTCCAGCTCTTCCGCGGGACCCTCGTGCTTCCCGGATCAGCACACCCACTCCGCGCTGCCCCACCGCTGGTACGTCAGCGATTGTAGCGATGACTCCATTAGCGAGGGCTCTGCCTGCCTGGTTAGCGCGGGCCAGCCCCTCGCGGTGGCTCATACGCACAATCAGACTCGGTTACGCGATTCAGTTCGCGAAACGGCCCCCCAAGTTTACGGGCGTGTATTTCTCCAGGGTCAACCCCCTGTCCGCCCCTGTCTTGCGAGAGGAGATTGCTGCCCTCCTGGCGAAGGGTGCAATCGAGCCGGTTCCTCCAGCCGAGATGGAGAGTGGGTTTTACAGCCCATACTTCATCGTACCCAAAAAGAGCGGTGGGTCACGGCCAATCCTAGATCTGCGCGTTTTGAACCGCTGTCTGCACAAGCTGCCGTTCAGAATGCTCACGCAGAGGCGCATTCTCCAATGCGTTCGTCCTCGGGATTGGTTTGCAGCCATAGACCTGAAGGACGCGTATTTCCATGTCTCCATTCTTCCACGCCACCGCCAATTTCTGCGGTTTGCGTTCGAGGGTCGAGCGTGGCAGTACAAGGTCCTCCCCTTCGGGCTCTCTCTGTCTCCGCGGGTCTTCACCAAACTCGCGGAGGGTGCCCTAGCGCCCCTTCGGCTCGCGGGCATTCGCATACTCAATTATCTCGACGACTGGCTGATTTTAGCCCACTCGCGGGAGCAATTGATTATGCACAGGGACAAGGTGCTTCGGCATCTCCGCCTACTGGGGCTTCAGGTCAACCGAGAAAAGAGCAAACTCGCCCCCGTGCAGAGGATTTCTTTTCTCGGGATGGAGCTGGACTCGATCACCATGGTAGCGCACCTCTCCGAGGAACGCGCTCGCCTGTTGCTGAACTGTCTGAGGGAGCTCGACAGCAAACTAGTGGTCCCACTGAAGTTCTTTCAGAGGCTCCTGGGGCATATGGCATCCGCAGCCGCCGTCACGCCGCTCGGGTTGCTCCATATGAGACCACTTCAGCACTGGCTTCACGATCGGGTCCCCAGACGCGCATGGCACGCGGGCACACACCGGGTCTCGGTTACTGCGCTGTGTCGCCGCGCCCTCAGCCCTTGGAACGACCCCTCGTTCCTACAGGCCGGTGTGCCTCTAGGACAGGCGTCCAGCCATGTTGTTGTTTCAACAGACGCTTCCAACACGGGTTGGGGGGCCGTGTGTCGCGGGCATGCGGCTGCGGGCCTCTGGAAGGGTGCCCAGCTGCATTGGCATATCAATCGCCTAGAGCTGTTGGCAGTGTTCCTCGCTCTCCACCGCTTTTTACCGGTGCTGGAGCGGCAACACGTGCTGGTCAGGACGGACAGTATGGCGGCGGCGGCGTATATCAACCGCATGGGGGGTATGCGCTCTCGCCGCATGTCTCAGCTCGCCCGCCGTCTGCTCCTCTGGAGTCACCCGCGGCTGAAATCGCTGCGCGCCATTCACGTCCCAGGCACGCTCAATCGTGCAGCCGATGCGCTCTCACGACAGCTGTTACGCCCTGGAGAATGGAGACTCCACCCCGAGTCTGTTCAGCTGATATGGGCGCGATTCGGGGAGGCCCAGATCGATCTGTTTGCTTCCCCCGAGAACGCTCACTGCCAGTTGTTTTTTTCCCTGACCGAGGGCTCTCTCGGCACGGATGCACTGGCCCACAGCTGGCCTCGGGGCATGCGCAAGTATGCGTTTCCCCCAGTGAGCCTGCTCGTGCAGTTTCTGTGCAAGGTCAGGGAGGACGAGGAACAGGTTCTGCTAGTTGCGCCCCTTTGGCCCAACCGGACCTGGATATCAGAGCTCTCACTCCTCGCGACGGCCCTCCCCTGGCGGATCCCTTTGAGAGAGGACCTACTCTCTCAGGGACAGGGCACCATCTGGCACCCTCGCCCCGATCTTTGGAACCTCCACGTGTGGTCCCTAGACGCGAGGAAGACTTAGGTAACCTACCGACTGCGGTGGTTAATACCATCACTCAGGCTAGAGCCCCCTCCACGAGGCGCGCCTACGCCCTGAAGTGGAGTCTATTCACTGAATGGTGCGTCTCTCGCAGAGAAGACCCCCGAAATTGCCAGATTAGTGTTGTGCTCTCTTTCCTTCAAGAGAAGTTGGACAGCAGGCTGTCGCCCTCCACTCTCAAGGTTTACGTGGCCGCCATCTCCGCTTATCATAGCGCGGTAGCTAGCGGCACCGTGGGAAAGCATAACCTGGTCATCCAGTTCCTTAGGGGTGCTAGGCGAATTAATCCATCTCGCCCCCCTCTCATGCCCTCTTGGGATCTCGCCCTCGTTCTCACGAGTCTGCGATCCGATCCCTTTGAGCCACTCGAATCAGTATCTCTAAGATTTCTGTCCCTGAAGACAGCTCTGCTGGTTGCGTTGGCCTCCATCAAGAGGGTCGGGGACCTGGAGGCATTTTCGGTCAGTGACTCGTGCCTGGAATTCGGGCCGGATTACTCTCACGTTATCCTGAGACCCCGCCCCGGTTATGTGCCCAAGGTTCCTACCACCCCCTTTAGAGATCAGGTAGTGAACCTGCAAGCGCTGCCCCCGGAGGAGGCAGACCCAGCCCTTTCTTTACTTTGTCCAGTTCGCGCTCTGCGCATTTATGTGGACCGTACTCAGAATTTTAGATCATCTGAGCAGCTCTTTGTCTGTTATGGCGGTCGGCAGCAGGGAAGTGCCGTATCGAAACAAAGATTATCCCACTGGATTGTGGATGCCATTTCACTCGCTTATTCGAGTCGAGGTCAGCCGTGTCCCCCGGGAGTACGTGCACACTCCACTCGGAGCGTTGCATCCTCTTGGGCGCGTGCACGCGGCGCCTCTCTAACAGACATCTGTAGAGCTGCGGGCTGGGCGACACCCAACACATTTGCAAGGTTTTACAATCTGCGAGTGGAGCCGGTTTCCTCAAGGGTATTAGGTAACCCTTTGGTGATTGAGGAGACAACTCGGTAGGGTGTTGAAACACGCTTGCTGCGCCATTCTCCCTAACACGGAGGTACGTGCGCCTTTTTTATCTGTCAGTAAAGTTCCCCGTCAGGTGAGCCCTGCAGATTCCTCCGTGGCCCCCAGCACTGACTCAGCGGAGGAGTCACTTGCTGGCCCACTACGTTGTAGGTCTGCCCGCTGGTCAGCCCGCGTTTTGGGTATAGGTGCCTGCTATGCGTGATCCCCACTAGGCGATCCCATATGCTTATTCCGCCACGGTTAAGTCCCCCCCCTGGGCGGACCCGTGTCTTCCCTCTCCGCTAACCACTCTTTGCTATGCGTACTCCCCCTTTTTAGGGCTAGTCCATAGGTAAATTCTGCCATCTATCCCCCCCTTGGGTAACGGATGGCCTCCGCAGCGTCCTCCCTATCGGGATTGCACGCTTCCCAACGTACTGTCGTATTTCCTAGAATTATCTAGATGCTCACGACTTCCCAAAAAATATATCTAAATCCGTAAAACTTCTGTTGAAGTAGGATAAATTAGGGCCAGGGACACGTTGGAGGACCGCGCCCCCCATGATGTGGGTGCGTCACGCTTTCTTGACTATCTCCTCATCGGGGGTGTTGGTAAGGTGCAGTCATTATGGCGCTTTCCATATTCTCCCATTCATGGCACTGAAGTTCCCCAACCGAAGGGGAACGTTCGAGGTTACAGAAGTAACCCTTCGTTCCCCGAGGAGGGGAACGGAAGTGCCATATTCCTTCGCCATAATGACTGTCCCTTAGCTGTTTGAAAGTCTCTTCAGCTTAAAAGGATGGCGTCTGCTGGCTTCAGGTGTGCTTATATGCTGAGATAATTGCAGATGTCGCACACCTGCGCAAGCTTACGCTGCCAATTAATTTCATTCATTGGCCCGTTCAATATTCTCCAGATAAGCGGCTTCTGATCCGAATCCTCCCATTCATGGCACTTCCGTTCCCCTCCTCGGGGAACGAAGGGTTACTTCTGTAACCTCGAACGTTCTCCGCCCACCAAATTGATTGTCAGCCGCTTATTTCGAAAATCTTGCACAAAAACTAACAATGCATCAAAGGCAATGCTGTTACTAATCTTTAACGTCCAAGACTGATTAAAGGTAAAAACAGTTCAGTCCAAAGTTTTTCTTTTTATATTAAAAATACGTCATGTGTGTTTTTTCCACCAAATTGGTGATATCATTTTTGAATCTGCCATTTAAGCATTTAAAATCCCATAATTAAAAAAAAAAAAAACATTTAGGAGTTTTGATCAGATCTGAGGTTGATGAACAGATTTATGCAAAAAAAAAATGGTCTGATGCATTTTTACAGCAGTTTAATTTAGTGGATGTTTTCATCCCTAACCTAGCAAAAGGTAGTAAACCTGAGCAGTCACAAGGGTTAAAGTCAAATAACTGAACATAAACATAAGAGGCTGAGAAAAAAGCTAATTTTAGTGGAAAGAAAAAATTTTCTGACAGCACTTAGAGGTTTTTGCATCTGTTTTTGCATCTAAATCTAAATTCAAATAAATAAATATTACAAAAGCAGAATGAATGGGACCGTTCTCCCTGTGCAAATAAATAAATCTGTCATCATTTTCTCATGACCTTTGTCTTTCTTCTGGAGAACACAATAGAAAATATTCCAAAAATGTGTTCTGTATTGTGCAAAAGTCAGAGAGTCATGCATGGTTCAAATGACATAATGTTGTATTTGTTTTCTGTTACTTTAAGACCTAATTATTCCTCACTAAAACTTGTGAGCTTTTTTTTCCGAAACCTTACAATGTGCTTCATCAATTGAAAACCATTTAACAGCTGATTGATTTGGTTCTTTCTCTTTCCTCTCAGTCTCCTGTGATCCATGACTACACAGAGATGGGTGTGCTGGTGTTGAACCGCAGATTTCGGACACAGCCAGATGACAGACGATTCCTGTCTGACCCCTTCCAGACGCAAACAGAGCCCGTGGATCTCTCCACTAACAAAGCCAGAACCTCCCCGTCACTTTCAGCATCTTCATCTTTATCTTCATCTCCCTCGTCTTCTTCGTCATCAATACGATTTTGTCCACGCTCTCCTCCCTCCAGCAAGTCTCTGCCATCTTCATCCCCATCATCATTATCCATGCCTTCGTCCTCCTCCACATCCGTCATAACCCCGGTTCCTCGTTTGAAGATGTCTCCATCCTGCTCTGTCCCGGTGGTGTCATCTCTTCCATCCAGGGGACTCAGGGGACAGTCATTTTTGCACATACCCCAGCTGATGCCTCCGTGTTCCAGTCCGGTTCACATCCATCCACGCCGGGTGCCGGTGGTGGTGCAGCCCATGCCGCTGGTCTACCCTGGGGTGGGTTCGCTGGGCAGCAGCAGGCTCATGATGCCACTTTTGGAGGAAAACAGGATGCACAGAAAAGGTGAGACAGAAGTCTATATGTGACCCTGGAATTAAAAAGCAATCTTATATTGTATGATTATAGCACAGTGCATTGACATAAATTAATTGATTTTATTTTTTATTTTTTTGGCCAAAAATCATTTGGATATTAAATAAATGTTTCATAGATATTTTGTAAATTTCCTACTGTAAATATATTAAAATTAATCTGTAATATGCATTGGTAAGTGCTTAATTTGTGCAAATGTAAAGGCAATTTTCTCAATATTTAGATCAGGCATGTCCAAACTCGGTCCTGGAGGGCCGGTGTCCTGTAAAGTTTAGTTCCAACCCCAATCAGACACACCTGGGCTAGCTAATAAAGCTCTTACTAGGCTTTCTAGAAACACCTTTGCGGGTGTGTTGAGGCAAGTTAGAGCTAAAATCTGCAGGACACCAGCCCTACAGGTTTGAGTTTGGACACTCCTGATTTAGATTTTTCTCAGATTCTACAATATATTTTTAATCAGTTGTTGAGTAAGTTACCTTAAAGAAGTAATGTATTTCTGACTGCATCATTATATTGTGTTTACATGACTTACAGTAATGCATACCTGCCAACATTTGCCTTTTAAAATCCATGAAACCGGTGGGGGTGGGTGAGGGCTGGGGAGTTGGTGAGGGGGGAGGCTGTTGGAAATGTTGCTGAAATTCCGGGAGTTTTCCGGGAGACAGAACAAAACGGGAGATGGGTCTGAAATACAGGAGACTCCTGGGAAAATGGGAGTGTTGGCAGTTATGCAGTAGTGTCTGAAATATAACTAGTAACTAAAAACTTAATGTATGAAATCAACAAATAATACATTTTTAACTTTTATTTAATGTTTACAATGCAAATCCAATTAGATCCACTTATTAGATAAACAAGGCAAGTCTCTCATATAATATCTCTACTAAAATACAGAAAATATTACTTTACAAACTGTATTGTAAATAAATCATCTATAAACATTTTAATATTATTATTATTATATCTCAATAATATTAGTGAAATAAATTTTAAAACTGAATAAATATAAATTTACACACACTAACACAAGTGAAAACATAGATTAAATGTTGTGATAAACATCTTCGGAAATCTGTGGATTTCTGCGTGCGCAGATTCAATGTGGGCCTAAATATAACTTAAATACTGAAGTAATTCTATTAATTGAATGGATAAAAAACATATAGATACATATAAATATATATGAAATACATATAAATCTCACTACAGAAACAATAGAAACAAATTTCTTCTAATTCTATATACAGTATATAATATGTGTCAAGGGCCCTTTAGTAAGCTAATCTCAATCAAGTTTACTGGGTGCTTTTTTATTTTATTTATTTATTTATTATTTATTATTTATGTTTTTTAAAAAAGAATAACTGATTTATCTTGTTTATTAGAATTATTGTTAAATACAAAGTTTTCATACAATCTGCTTACACATTTTAAAGGGATAGTTCACATAAAAATAAATTATTCACTGTTTACTGACCTTCAATTGGTTACAAAAATGTATGGGTTTCATTTATTCATTTTCCTTCGGCTTAGTCTCTATTTCAGAGGTCGCCACAGCAGAATGAACCACCAACTATTTTAGCATATGTTATTTATGCAGTGGATGCCCTTCCAGCTGCAACCCAGCACTAGGAAACACACACATTCTCGCATTCACAGACGCACTGACTCATACACTCCAGCCAATTTAGTTAATCCAATTCACCCATGTCTTTGTACTGTGGGGGAAACCGGAGCACCCAGAGGAAACCCACGCCAACATAGGAAGAACATGCAAACTCCACACAGAAATGCCAACTCAAACCAGCAACCAGGCAACAGTGCTAACCACTTAGCCACCATGCTGCCCCACTTTATGGGTTCAGTAAACCTAAAGAAGATATTCTGAAGAAAGCTGGAAACCTGTAACCACTTATTTCCATAGTAGGAAACACAAATACTACAGAAGACAGTGGTTACCAGTTTTCTTTAGAATGTCTTCTGTTGTTCAGAACAAATATGAATACTGAAGGGTGGGTAAATGATGACAGAATGTTCAGTTTTGGGTTAACTATGCCTTTAAGAAAAACACAGAAAAGCTAAAAAAATATATCAATACAGTAGTTTATGGGTGAATCCCTATACTTACTTTTTTATACATTTCCATATGATTCACACCAACTACCTCATAAAAATCCCTTTGCCCATTGCAAAAATAAAAAAAAAATATTCACATTTATTGAATTATTATTATTGAATTGTACATTAAAATAAAGTGTGACTCAATTTTGATGTGACCTGTTTGATACTGTATGTTAGAATTCCCCTTGTAACCATACATCCAAAATGAATTAATTTATGTGCCTCCTCAAACAAGTCGACTTGACATCATTTGTTTGACAGATCATTAAGTAATCACTGCCATAAGGTCACTTAAAAGTAACAAGGCCTCAACGACTGCAGCAAATCCCATCCTCCTGCAAAGCTGTTCCTCCCTCTTTTTTCTGTAGGTGTTTAAAAGCCTCTCTGCGAGTTTCCGTGTTGCTGGCAGGGTCAGTGACAGAACCCAGAGCTGGCTGTGTGTTAGACAGCCTCAGCTCTTATGAAGTGCAGCTCCATTGTGCTCGCCTCTTTCTATTCCTCAAAACAGGCAGTCTCTACATCCCCGCAGGAAGTACATGCTACGGCAGAAATTCTGCTCAGCTAACAGAGGGCACCTGGGTTTATTAGGGACAAAAGCATTCAGCGGAAACACAATAGCAACTGCGATAAGAGGCATATTTGGAGGGACACAAAACCGGAGGGATATATAAAAGACGATTGAATATAAAAAATGATTTGAGTGATGTTCTAAATTTAACTTCGGTTTGATTATGAGGTATTTCATCAGTCATTCATGTCTCCAACATACAAACTCGTCCTTAAAACCCTTTTTTATGTCAAGGAAAGCTTGCCTTTGGGCAACATATCTGTTTTTAATGGGCTAGGAAGGCTTTCTATTCATTTTTTTTTCTTGTTTTCCTCTGGGGGGAGGCACAGATAGAGGCTGGAGAATGTCCAATGTCATATAACTCTCTCTTATGTCCTGTATTAGTGTCTCGGATCTCTCTCTGCTATAGACCGACCAATCAGAGAAGAGCATTTATCAGTATCAGAAGAACACTGTGTGTGCAAACAAGCAGGTTGACACATAATTAGGCCTGTGCCGTTCACACTTTGATGATCCAATTTTGGTTCATTAAAACGGTTGAAGATTGGCGCACGGAGAGCAGCCCCCTGTCTTGAGGGTCCGTGCCCTAACGCTTTGCAGTCTCTCATGAAGTATCCATGGCAACAAGATGGGACATGGAATGACACGAATACAACGGAGACCTTTGAAATTGCTATTATGACCAAACAAAGCAAAACAACCCAATACAAACATGCCCGGCTCTCTTATTACTGGAACAGAGTCAACTGTATTCTGGTATTTGAGCTGTGGTGGAGTTCATCCAAAAATACTGAAAATTCTGCCATCACTTATCATGTTTGTGTGCTTCCGAATGGCAAAGTGTGGGGCATTAGTTCTTGAGGTTGTCATAACTGAATGTTGAAATGTAAAATCTACATAGTTTATACAGCGAATGGTTTATTTCTTAATATTTACTTGTTTTATATTTGGAATTAAATAAACATTAAAGGAATAGTAAAATAGTTCATTTCCAGAATGAATGGGCACCACTGACTTCCATTTACCAACTTGTTTACCCCCTCTATGGAAGTCAACATTGACCACCAATGTTTCATATACCAACATTTTTTAAAATATCTTCTTTTGTGTTCAACTGAAGAAAATAACTCATACACACTTGCAACAAGTAAACTTTTATTTATTCTGTTTGAAATAAGTATGAAGGTTTCAGAAATGTTATGCAAAAATGAAGTCAAAAGAGTTTAATGAAAGTAGATTTATTCCAATGGGGTAAATATGTATAATAATAATATTAATCATGTTAATTGAATACACTATGAGAGTGTAATATTGTGTGATAGTGTGATATTTCTTATTGTTTGAATCAAAATTACTTGTTTAAGTTTAAGTATTCCATTGAACTTTAATTTTGTTTATAATAATTATTTCAGTCAGTTTCAGTGATTAGTATTTTGTATTTTATATATAATTATTGATGGATGGATAGATGGATGGATAGCAGATACCAAAACATAAATCTAAGATGGCAAATAAATAAATAAATTATTAAATTTTTAAATAAATAAATTAGGTCATCTTAGATTGATATTTTGGTGTATATATGTTGTTTTAATAAAAAAAAAACTATAAATCTGAATAAAATCTGTTTATTTTTCAGTTACAACACTAAAGTCATTTAAATCAAAACAATATATCGTCACCTTAGAATTATAAGGTTCTATTTGACATTTTTGTCAAAATTGAGTTATTGACATATTCTTATTAAATGACAACTTATTTACATTATCAGATGTTTTTTTTAAGGCGTTTACATCTTAAGACTTTTTATTTAAAAAACAAATATTACACGCATACTGTTTGCTATGTAATGCAAAAACTTTGAAGCTCAATATGTCAAAATCATTTAGAACGCATATAGAACCTTATAAATCCAAGGTGACAATATGTATATTTATTTTTGTATATATTGTTACAAAAAAAACAAAAACAATTACAACTTGTGCGAGGTGTTTCTAATGCAGCATCTATGGGACAAGACAGTAAATTTGACCTTATTCTCTCCTCTGGCTGCCGTCATCAGTCTCACACAATTTATTTTTCTTTTTCTGAAAGTCTTGATAGCATCATCGTGGAGTTTTTTTTTTATTGTTATTTCAGCAAATACGATCGTAAGAAAAAATATTTGTTGTATTCTCCTATTCACTGCGCTGTAAGTTTTCCCAATTATGACGACTTCCACTACTGAGAAACCCAGAAATGTAAAAAGTGTCTATTTATATAGCACATTTCATACACAATGGTAATTCAAAGTGCTTTGCATAAACAAGAAACATAAAAATTATTAAAATATAATAAATTAAAAATGATTAAAACAGATTTAAATGTGTTAAATCACATTTTAAAACTAAAGAGCCAGTACAACTGATTCATTTCCCAGTAAACAGCAGAACCTAAGATCACAACTCTCTTGACAAATATCATTCAATTAAATATGCAAACGATTCACAAACTGTGAATCAAATACAGAAAACTGACACTGGGATGTATTTTAACAATATGTTGGTCATACAGTGCGCACATATTGTAAATCAACTCCCCCTACCTTTTGTTTTTATTCAGTGATGCACCGAATGGCAGATGGACTGTCACCGCGACGATCTCTGAGTGACAGCGAGGATGACGACTTGCCCAACGTGACCTTGGAGAGTGTGAATGAAACAGGATCCACCGCCTTGACCATCGCCCGCGCTGTCCAAGAGTAAAGACACTTTCATCATTCATCTGCAATATTTATAATCCATCTACAACTAACCTATGTCTATCTATTAATGTGATCAATGATTTTTTATAGCCCTGCCTGCAATAACATGATCCTGTGGAATTTTAAAAGATGTAAGATTTAAGATACAATAATAACCTTTATTTTTATATAGCGCCTTTAAAAGTAGCATCGCAAGGCACTTTACAGACATTTACAATGTGCAGCAGTAAAAAACACATACAAGGATGTATGCAAAGAAAAAATATAATAATAAAAAATAATTAAAAACACATGAAATAAAAATAATAGCAATAGATCTAAAAATCAAACAAAAGTTACCCTAAATATGTAAGTTTTAAGAGATAAGAGATTTAAAAATACTCAGGGATTCTGCTTTGCGAATATCAGAGGGTGAAGAGTTCCACAATTAAGGTGCCAATGAACAGAATGCCCATAGTTTCCCATAGATTTTAGCCACGTATAAATGTGACCAGTTTGCTTGAGTGACCTGATAGGCGGATCTTTTTACAACAGAGAACTACAAAAATATAGTGTTAAGGGATAGTTTACTCACACTCAATGGGTTCTAAACTTTAATAAATGTCTATGGATGTCAGTTTTTCTTTTTTTTCTTTATGTTTAATAGAAGAAAGAAACTCAATTGTATTTGGAAAAAGTGATGAGTAAATGATTTTAATAGATTTTGGAGTAAAATGTCCCTTTAAGTCCATAGTAAATACATATACAGTAGTCAGCATTTAAAGTACAATTGAAAAAAGCAGAATTGGCCTATATCAAGAATTGGTGTTGTTTAATAGTTAAAGGAAAACTTTGATAAAAGGTTTTGATCCTTTTCAAATGTTGACTGCTTTTATCACATGTGACATAAGTAAGGGTTAATATGAGTCTATAAATATGCTTGGTCAAATATGGACAAAATCAGCTGTTGGATTTAGAATTTTGATGTAAAATAATTTGGGTTTGTCAATATTTGACCCAAATTTAAGTTGAAACAATTCTGCAAAATTAGAGTGTAGGCAATAGTACACAAGGTAAAATATCTTAAAACAAAGGTTTATGTGACCCCCTTTACACATTCTACGGTTAGTTGTTTAAAACCTAGCAAAGCAACATACATTTTCTTATTTATAAGAAAAGTCACCTCATTATGGGTGCAAATTGGCAAGCAGTAGGTAATGCTGTCTAATTGTGTCTGGAAAAGACACAGGTATTCATTAGAGAAAGGAGTGTGAGCGAGTGACTTGATCTGTTGGTTCTTTATTCAATAAGAACTCAGTGATACATGTAGTAGTTGTTTATGCTGCTTATTTGCAGTGAATATAAAATTTGACACAAAACTTTTAATAAAAAAGACTCAATTCATATTATTATTATTATTACACTGTAAAACCTGATAAGTTAACTTAAACTGTTTGAGCAAACCGATTGCGACAAACCATTCAAGTTATGAAACCAAATGATTTGAGTACTGTAAAGTTTATATATATATATATATATATATATATATATATATATATATATATATATATATATATAGAGAGAGAGAGAGAGAGAGAGAGAGAGAGAGAGAGAGAGAGAGAGTCATGTACAGATTATTCGTGTTTATAGGATCAAATATTTAGAATATTAAACATTTCAGTTATCAACATAAACAAAGTTCAGTTATCAGTTATATGATTTCAGTTAATAGAGTGAATTCAAACAAAATGAACTATTACAACTATAAACAACTATAGCTACTCAAATATTTTGATATTGCTAGTAGCATTAAAGTTAAATAACCACAAAAAAACAGAATTAATTCATTCATAACTCAATTAGTTTGAGTTATGCTTAATATAATCAGTTTATGAGTTACTCTTTTTCATTAAGTCAAAGTAACTATTTTTTATTATAAGTTATAAAACTAACTTATTTTGTTTAGTGATTTTTACTGTTAGGTTTTACAGTGTAATATTATTATTATTATTATTATTATTATTATTATTGTTCATTCATAAATTCATTAATTCATTTTCTTGTCGGCTTAGTCCCTTTATTAATCCAGGGTCGGCACAGCGGAATGAACCGCCAACTTATCCAGCAAGTTTTTACACAGCGAATGCCCTTCCAGCCGCATCCCATCTCTGGGAAACATCCACACACACACACACACACACACACACACACACACACTACGGACAATTTAGCCTACCTAAATTACCTGTACCGCATGTCTTTCGACTGTGGGGGAAACCGGAGCACCCACAGACAGACTCCACACAGAAACGCCAACTGAGCCGAGGCTCGAACCAGCGACCCAGCGACCTTCTTGCTGTGAGGCGACAGCACTACCTACTGCGCCACTGCTTTGCTATTATTATTATCATGATTATTATTGTCATTATTATTATCAGATTATCATTTTTCAGAGCTTTTTGAAAAAATTATTGACTTAAATAATAATTTAATCACCATTTACTCACCCTTATATTGTTCCCAAACTTTTTTGAGTTTCTTTTTTTTTTATATTTGAAGACAACAGTAGATATGTTAAAGAATCTTGGTACAAATTATGGCAACCACTGACTTCTGTGATTAAAAAACTATTCAAACTGTTATGTTCAACAGAGGTCCTTAACTTTCAGTCTAGGGGTTTCATTGATCCTTCCACATTTTTTAGGTTTGCAAGTTTTAACACAAATTTGCAATTTAAAAAGTAATTAACACTTACGAATAGATTTAAAGATTTGCATAAACATTTATAGTACATCCTAATATAGACATGTTTACATTCTTGCATTTGGCAAATGCCTATTCAAAGAGATTTACAGCGTATTCAGGAAAAGCATTTTGCCAGTACGTGCGTTTCCTGAAAAGCCAAACGCACGACCTTGTTAAACTAGTTGATGTTCAGGAAGTGCTCTCGGTCTCCATGGGAGTGTGTGCTTCAGGTTGAATGTGTTGTGGACACAGGTGCAGGACTCATGCAGGTTTATGTATCTTCTGACCTGTGATCAGCTAGCGAATAATGAATGGACTTTATTCTTACCTTTGTTATTGTATTCAGCTGATAAAACTGATCATCAGACAGCGATGCTGGACTGCACGTCCCCACCATTGGAAAGCCCCTCTGGTTTTCTCCATTGGGAAACATACAAACAAAAGACGGAACATAAATGACTGTGCTGAGTTTAGTCTGATGGCAGCTGCAGTTTCCCTCTCTGCCTCTTTCTTGTTGACAACAGTCTAGTCTAGCATTGATTCATACCTTAAAACACAATATAAATGGTGTTCCTCTGACCTCGGATGAAAAAATTCCAAGCTGCACATGATGGAATGTGGAAAATAGTGATGTGTTTTTAAAAATGTAGATATTGTTAAAGGAAGGAGAAGATATCTAGGATGTTTTCTTTCTTTTTTTTCCTCTTTGGGCCCCCAAAAGACATTGAGCCAAAAGCTACAGGTGCCCATGAATGACCCCCCCCTTCTGACTGCACATGAACATGTACGTGCACACACACATTTACCCCCCTCATTCCTGCTACCCAAAAGAAACAGGAAGTGTCTCTGTGGGGGGTGAAAATACCTGCCACTCAGAAAAGAATTCCTCTGCAAAGTAGGCCTTCCTTTATCCAATTTAAGATAACATTTTATAAAGCCAGATTTCAGTGAGGTCTTAAGGATCATTTTACCTCAATCAACCCCTGGTGCTCTTTTCAAATCTTTAATGAGAAATAATGTCAACGTAGCTTTGTAAAATAGGCTATAATTTCTGCACCATTAGCGCCACCATGTGGAACAGATTTGACAAACTCTTGCTCAATCTGCTGCATGTTGGTTTTATAAGTATCCAAACTCTATTGGTTAAGCCATTGTTTCTATTCTGTATTGTGTTGGGGGGTCGTTATAACTATAAAGTGCCTTTAAGACATCAAAATCTTCATTAAAAAGTTTAAGATTTTCAATTTTAACCACATAGTTGTTGTAAGAATTAGACCTTAGGCTGTAAGAAATAAATGTTGGTCACGCTCCTGCGCTTTTTACAAATAATCTGCAAACAGAAAAACAGTAAACAAACTTCAAATTGTGTCAACCATGTCATGGACAAATTTAAAGTAGTATAAATATATTCTCATTGCAGTCTGATTATTTAAAAAAAAAGTATATTTTCAGAAAGGTAATGTGTCCCTTTATAGACCCAACTTTTTAGATCAGTGGTCACCAAACTTGTTCCTGGAAGGCCGGTGTCCTGCAGATTTTAGCTCCAACCCTAATCAAACACACCTGAACAAATCAAGGTCTTGCTAGTTATACTTGAAACATCCAGGCAGGTGTGTTAAGGCAAGTTGGAGCAAAACCCTCCAGGACCGAGATTGGTGACCCCTGTTTTAGATTATGGAAAAAGCCTATTTATAATAATGAAATAATGGACAAACATGTATTTCCCCATAAAATTTGCAATCGTTGCACATTCTTTTCAAAATATCTATAATATTTGGTCAAACTTTCAAACAATATTAACTGGCCCATATTGGTTAAGAAATCACACAAGATGTTTTGCTGAGGTTGAAAGTAATTTGTTTATTTTCATAAAAGTTGAACATGATGGTGGAAAACAAGATGACAGAGTGGACATTGGCTTTATTTAGCAAACTAAATATGGAGGAACATTTGAAAAACAAAAGGTACAAGAAATATTTAAGGGTTAATTTAAAAGGGTTGTAAAAGTTTTCAAGAATTCAACTTCTGTTTTCGCTACCTACTTTAAACCACTGAGCCACTATGCCTGCTCTTCTGTTATCAATTAGTTTTTATCAATATGATAATTAATGGGAAAATAAACAATTATTTTCGGGGGGGGGGGGGTCAGAATAATGTAAATAATTAGATTACAGATGTTCACATAAATGTACAAATGCTTAGGGCTGTAAGTTTTTATTTTAAACAGTCAATGAGTTCCATTATACAGACCTTAAAAGGACATCCTCCTGAATATACTGGTGTAGTCTGTGTGTGTGTGTGTGTGTGTGCGTGCGTGCGTGCGTGCGTGCGTGCGTGCGTGCGTGCGTGTGTGTGTGCGTGCATGTGTGCGTGTGTGTATAAGTGTTGTAACATAAAAACATTAGCTAATTAACAATAAAATATTAATAAAATAAATAAATAAAGTGTGCATATGTCCACCCTGTCAAGGAGAATTTGTGACAGGGTGGACAATGACAGGGAGGACATTTTTGGCTAAAGATAGCATTTATTTAACACAGGTTGTACCTGCAGCTGGCAAAGTGTAATATACAAAAACATATTTCAAAACACTTATAATTCTACCTGCATCTGTGTAATTAATAAGGTTTCAGGTATAGATATTTACATTTGTCTTGCACCCCTCATCATGGAGCATTCCACAGTCAAGTCAGGTAAAGATTCAGTTTTAAAAACAATTTTTTATTTTAAATGTATTTTTGTTGTTGTTGTGAATTCATTTTAAGAAAACAAATAATTTCAAATGTGAGATTTCATTCAGATAAAACATGAAAAAGGAGATTCAGTAATATACAAAAAATCCTGCAAAATATATAAATAAATAAAACAATTATAAAACTACAAAGGGTGCATGGGCCCCCAAATCACTAAATCCACCCCTGCATATATGTCTATAGTTACTTGGGTATCTAGTTATTTTCAAAATATCTTCTTTTGTGTTTGATAAAAGAAAGTCAAATATTTTTTAAGTGTGGGTTAATGATGACAGCGTTTTAATTTTTGGGTGAACTATCCCTTTACACTCTCAAACTTTTCAGGGAAATCCAACTAAGAATTGCTATAACTGATAATTATTAGCTGGAAAAGAAGAAATAATTAAACATTGAAAACAAAAGAAGCTATTTTCTTGTGTAGACCTTTGTATATGATGACTTTTATAGGCAGTTCTTTGATTCTATGAATTTTATACACTCTCAGAAATAAAGGTATGTGAGCTGTCACTGGGGTGGTACCTTTTCAACAGGTACACATTTGTACCTAAAGGGTCCATATTGGTACCTCAATAGTGTATATTAGTACCTAAAATTTTAAAAGGAACACTTTTGTTTTTTTTAGGTACTAATATGTACCCTTGAGGTATTATTACGGACCTTTTAAGTACAAATTTGTACCTTTTGAAAAGACATCACCCCAGTGACAGCTCGCGTACCTTTATTTCTGAGAATGTAATAGCTTCATCTTGTGGCTATATGAAGTAGTATACGTTTAGTGTGATTAGTATAATAGCTCCACCTTGTGGCTATATGAAGTAGTATACGTTCAGTGTGATTTAGTTCACACACCTTTTCATACAGTAGGATAAGAAAAATTATATTTGAGGGAAACGTTATTTTATTTGATAAAAGAATATTTTAAAATTATTTGAATAGTATTTCTGAATGAAATACTATTGTTATAGCATGATGTTTACACATCAACATTAACAACATTAACATTAACATTGTTCCATTTTTATTTAATAAAAATAGGGTATTCATTCATATTCATATCCGTTTACAGTATACTGTTTTGATGCTGGTTTTTAAATTATCTGTAAGACCAAAGCTTTCGATTCAGGCTTGTAGGCCTGTGTTTAATTATTGGGATCAAAGCATATGTGCACAACATGCTTTTTCATAATTTTTGAAAGTTTGTTGATATGTTGATAGATAGCTTATAGTTTCTTAGTTGATAGTTTAGAGGCCTTATGAATGTACGTATTCATAAGCAATAAGCTTTATATGGTCTAGTTGCTTTTAATAATGGAAATCTTGTGCTCTAATTGCAGTTCCCTGTTGCCGTTCAGTATTGAGAGTCTGCGGAGGCCCAGGCCTTCAGAATCACCAGACTCAAAGAGAAGACGCATTCACAGGTGTGAGTTTGAGGGCTGCAATAAGGTTTACACCAAAAGCTCTCACCTTAAAGCCCACAGACGCACACACACAGGTAAGCCAGAGTACAATTACTTCATTATATACATTCTAATCCTTCTAATCATTCTAAGGAAAGCCATTTAGTCAGTAAAACATATCAATTTCCATGTTACTTTTTAGATACTTTGTAAATAAGTCAGATAAATGAGTACTAGTTGCCTATATAATATACAAGACCTAAAGAATAAGCACTAGTAGCTACTGTAGCTAATGTATAAGTTCTTGTGGGTGATTTTATAATTGCAGGTATATTTGGCATTTAAAAAATTAAGGAAAAACTCTTTATAAACAACAATTATGTCCATTATATTATTAAAAGCATATTCAGTTTAATAAGTTGGTGCTAGCCAAACACCCTTCTTTACTTTTAGGGAAAACAGATTTCTTCATAGTATTGTTAGTCAACTTTGTTACAGACAAATCGGATAATTTCTAGAAATAAAAATAAATCATTGCAAGATTTTTTTTTTCTATTAGAAAAACAGTCCTTACCTTTCAACACTTTCAAGCAAGATGACATTTCACCTGTGGATACACAAAAAGAGAGAAACACAAGTTCTCTTTAACTCACACATACATGACTGTCAATTCACATACAGAATTGTGTACTACTTTATATATATATATATATACTTGACAGAAGTATTGTCGTCGATCCCAGTTGTAAGAGCAACAAATAATAACATGATCAATCTAGTTTATCATTTGGAAATTGATCAACTAGATTGACAGATGATTTATCAATTTTTCTGATAAGTCATCTGTTGAACTGCATCCCAATCCTCACAAATACTGCAGAAGACCTGTATTGGAACCCACGTGGACCCAAGATTCTCACAGAAATCAGTCAAGTTTGGTAAAGGAAAAATTATAGTTTGGGGTTACATTCAGTATGGGGGCGTGCGAAAGAACTGCAGAGTGGATGGCAACATCAACAGCCTGAGGTATCGAGACATTTGTGCTGCCCATTACTTTATAAACCACAGGAGAGGGCAAATTCCTTAGCAGGAAAACGCTCCATCTCATACTTCAGCCTCCACATCAAAGTTCCTGAAAGCAAAGAAAGTCCAGGTGGTCCGGGATTGGCCAGCCCAGTCACCAGACATGAACATTATTAAGCATGTCTGGGGTAAGATCAAAGAGGCATTGAAGATGAATCCAAAAAATGTTGTTAAAGGAGTTCTGCAGGAATGTTTTTTTTATTTTTTTGCTATTCCAGATGACTTTGTTAATAAGTTATTTGAGTCATTGCAGAGGTTCTGTTAATGTATATTTCTGTTAAGTGACAAGACTTTTGTCTAAGCAAAGTCAGACCTTACTGTCCTAATTAAATGATTAAAAATCAAAGCATGATCATATTTTATTTTGCTAAAATAAGCATAATCTAGAGCCTTACATAAGCCACCAAATAATCAACTAGAAGTCAAATTATTTGTTGTTCCTAAAACTTGGATAGGCGACAAGACTTTTGTCAGGCAGTGTATACATATATACAGTTTCCAAAAATAACTGTGTAATTTTTTTTTATTATTTAAAATATCTTAGCTAGAAAAAGTGATGTAATTGCCATTAATGGGTGTTTTTTTTTTTTTACATCGTTGTGTGAGATAATTCCACAAATTTAAAGGCAAGGTATGGTAGGGTAACAATTTATTTGCAGACTCATTTTTGTTGAATAAAACTTTGAAAAAAAAATAATGTTGTAAAATTAGGAAAACTAGTTGAAACTTTTATAAATACAAAAAAGTCAAAATTACCAAAATAAAAGTAAAACGAAATACTTTGATTTCACAATGATAGGCCTACATTATAGAAAAAAGACACTAATTTAGACATAAGAAATCATGATTTTTGGCAATATAAGACACTTTTTTAACGAAAATATTGTTGTTATGGCATTTAACATCTTGCTATCTATATTAACAAGTGACAAATTTCTATAAATAATTAAACATGTAAACATTTTTTTAAGCTGAAAGAAAATTACGGCCTTTTGGACACCAAATGTACATGCAATTACAGAAACACCCTTGTACTTAATGGAAAATACTGTTAATAGCATGAAAATAGAAATTAAACGATGTATGGGCTTGCCATGAATGGTCTCTTCCTGTCGCGCAACACGTCTCTTTTATTGACATGTCACTGGTTTTCTCCATCTCGCAGGTGAAAAGCCATATAAGTGCACGTGGGATAACTGCACATGGAAGTTCGCTCGCTCTGACGAACTGACGCGACATTACCGCAAACACACCGGCGTCAAACCGTTCAAATGCAGCGACTGTGACCGCAGTTTCTCCCGCTCGGACCACCTTGCCCTCCACCGCCGCAGACACGCTCCACAAACATGCCTAGTGTGAAAAAACACACTCAACGGACAAAACAAGCAGAAAGAGCGGGTCTCTTTCTGCCAGTGCCGCATGCAGAAGCTCTGGAAATATTCCCCGCACAACAATAATGAGGAGAAAGGTATGGTCAGTTCATGGAATTGGATAGATATGTATCAGCATTTATTTGCCTTTCCCTCATACGGTTTATTGTTCTGCACTTTTAGGTGAGGTTTATTCGTGAAGGTGGGAGCCTTGAGTCTTTAATAATGAACTATTAAAAGCCATGTGCTGTTAAATGTGTTTTATATAGGCCTACAGGTTTCCTTCAGGTTTACTCATGGACGCCTAATGGAGTTGAAGGTTTTTCTTTTAACTCTCAAAACTATTTAGAAATCATGTTGTACTTATTTTTCTCGTTTAAAAAGCATCAAAGAGGAGCCTGAATATTTTCTGTGCAAGCTTTGGTTATGCATTTGGCAAGTAAAAGTCACTTTGAAAAACAAAAAACAAACAAAATATAGTTTGCAGGGTAATAAAGGCATGGCTGTAAGTGTGTAGAATTTAGTACATAGGCCTACAACATTATCAAAACCCACACAAAAAGACATTAAAACAAACATCACAGTATTTACTGCAAGTTCACAGCTTTGCATGGGCTCCTCCAGTTATCACTTTATTATGAATTTTGAAATTGTTTTTGTTTCTTTATGTATAACTGAATGTGAGGAGACCGACGTAACATTTTAAACTTTCCCTGCATCATTTGTGCACAAAACTAGTGTAGCAGATGTCTGTATATTTTATAGTCTCTACCATGTGGTATATCATTTTGTTTGTTTGTATTGTTTGTATTGTATGTCATATATTTGTTCTGTATTCCAAGTTTGCACCCCGCTGTCCATTAATATGTGATGCCAAAATCTATAGTATTTTACAGGGAACCCTGATGACTAAAAATCATGAGTGTAAATGATCGTCAAATGGGCAGTCCTTTTATTATTGTTATTATTTTCTTTTACAATGATGTATCTGTAAATGATGTTATGGTAAACATTTCAGTTTTATATGGATTTAACTGTGAATTTATACATAAATACAGTATACTGTATGTTAGAAAAAAAGGCATGAATAAAAGCACCGATTTGTATGTTCAGAAAAGACTCTTGTGTGAATTTAAACATGATTTATGAAATGTTAAAATGTTAGATCACACTCTTCACTCCAGATTAATAAGATCTAGCCCCGGATGCCAGATCCTGTCAGAAAATGTCTGTTTCTTTGGGTATCCAGACAACAAGCCAGCGAGCAGACTCACCAATGCCCAAACCTTTTATTCAACAGTCTCTTAAATATAAGAGTTGACTAAGAAGCAGAAGCAGATGACGGTCGGTCATGAGGATAAAGGAAGAGCAGAGTTTATTGAATAATCTTAGTTGCATATGATTTAATGCTTAGACTTGGATGGATGGATGGATGTCACAACTGTCCCCAATTACAGAATTCATTTAAGAGCTTGCCATAATAACAATGTACACTTTTAATTTTATCACCGTTTCACTATGTTATTTAATTTGAAAAAAAAAAAAAAGTAATTTTTGAAAACAATTAATTCATTTTAAAGTTCAAAGAAGTATTTTAGTAAAGTTTCAGTGTAGATTTTCAGTGAAAAAAATATTTTTGTTCAGTTTTTTTTAAGCCTGGCAATTGGTTGTTGCTTGTTCCTTTAGTGTAATTATATGTCCAACTTAACACATTTAACAATTTAACCAATTTACATTTAATCTGTTTACCAACAACTAAAACTAAAATCCAACCTGATGTTTTAGAATTTTTCTTATTATTACATTTTAATGAATGTTGCAATCGTCCCCCTGCTCGGAGTCAGTTGCAAAGTTTGACTTTGTCTGTTGAGGTTTCTGCATACTGTACATTATCATATGTACACATTACAGCAATGTGGGTTGGTGTCAAATAGATGTGGCTTTATTGTATTAAAAGTTTGGCTTTCTCTGTGAAACTGAATGAAATGCAAAAAGTGTTGCAACTGCTCTTCCCCTATTGTTTTACTCTCTGGTAATCATATAATATTCCTATTTAGTGCAGTTGTTGCATATTAAACATAATATGTGCAGTTTTAATACATATAAAATGTGCTTCTTAAAACCCACCACAGGGGTGCAGCAGTTTACCAGGGTTAAAAAAAAAAAAAGTCTCACTATCCTCTATTCAAACAGCTGTTAAGTCCTAAACTGGACACCATTACGGAGGTCAGTTCATGACACGCAGTTTAACCTTTAACCCACCTTTACCCTACTCTTGACGAACGAAATGAAAACAAATGCCATCTTTCCCCTTGGGTGTTGTCAGCGTTCGTTAAGTAATGATGAAACACCTTTCGTTTCTGTGGTGATTGCGCAGGTGCGTGGGTTCAATCAGGGAGCGTCTTCCTTTTCGTGACCTCCACATATTTGGATATTGGCACAAAGTATTTAATGATTCAGAAATGTTCTAGATTTTATCTGCGTGTCTGGTTGCATCATATGGAACACTTTTCTAATCGGTCCTCCTTTTGCAAATGTCCTCAATGATTAGTTTTCAGTCATCATTCATTTTCTTTTTGGCTTAGTCCCTTTATTAATCTCGGATTGCCACAGCGGAATGAACCGCCAACCATGTGTGTGTGTGTGTGTGTGTGTATGTATATATATATATAAATAATAAAATATAATTCATTCAGCAGAATGAGCCGCCAACTAAGAGCATATGTTTTACACATGCAGCCGATGCCTTTTCAGCTGCAACCCAGTACTGAGAAACACCCATACACACTCTTTCATACACACACATACACTACGACCAATTTAGTTTATCCAATTCCCCTATACTGCATGCCTTTTAGATTGTGGGTTAAACCAGCACCCATAGAAAACCCACACGAACACGAATAATATATAATAGAATATATAAAAACATTTTAAATAAACAATGGATTAACACAATTATTTTTGAATGAAAGAATATTTTAAAATATTAAAATATTTTAGCTTAAAACTGACTACATTCTTGTTGTTGAAAAAGTGAAATATTCGCTGTAAAAAAATGCTGGGTTCCAAACTGATTAAGTTAGCTTATCACATTTAAGTTGACTGAACATGCAACAATTAAGTTGTTCCAAAAGAAATCTGAAAAGAATAATGTTTCCACTCATTTTAAATAAGTAATTTGGACAAACAGCAGAAACAAGTATTTTTCAGTGTTTTTCAAAAAATACCTTTTCAGAATTTGTAGAAAGAATGACTTATTATTATGTAGTATAGTTAACAGTGTGTAGTAATCTTTGTTCAGGAACATACCTTTGCGTTTATTTGTCTGTGGTTGGTATGACCTTTTAATGTTGATCTAAGATCAGTTTCACAGGTTTACCTGCATGATTAATGACATTCCTGCTGGATTTCCTGCTTTGTAACTTCATGTACATGCAAATTCATTCATAGTGTATTTTGTAAATACAAATAAAAAAAAATTGGTATTATTTACAGAATATAAATAGCACAAAGTAACATCATTCTGCCAGTAGATAATTTTATTTGCTACAGTGCTCAGCATAATTGAAGACACCCTATTTTTAAAAATGAATATTTGTATCCATTTTTCGGTGAATATAGGCAATGTATTTTGGTGCATTTAAACAGATTTATTAAACAGATATATTTATTAAAAATATTTTAGTCACCAAACAAATTTTGATATTGAAAGATAATTCAATTAAATTTTCCATTTTTGTTGCTTCTTGATTTTACCTTTTTTAAATTTTGTATTTAATATTTTTCTGTAACAAATAATCCATATAATATATAGTCATAATATCGTAAGTTATTTTGTTAGATTAGCTTCGGATTGGCTTCAGTACTGACTAATCTAATGTATATGCACAAATATAATATTGTAGCTTCCTATTAAAAATATTTAAAAGATAGATTTGTGATGGGTGTACTTATAAATGCTGAGCACTGGATATCTTTTTATGATTTTTTTTTTTTTTAGAGTTTATGCTTACAAATTTAAACAAATGAATGAGTAACAGCACCTGGATGCGCAATGAATCCAGCAAAATGACTGCCGCTTCAAAAAGCTAAAGTGATCAAAGGCCAGAGTCACACTTCCACAGCCACATGGATGAGAAGCGAATGAACACACTGAGTGTGTTTGTGTTAGTTGGAAATAGATCCTGCATGTCTCAATCAGTCATCTCCCTCTGATCTGAGAGGATGAGAAACACCTTATGAAAATATTGTTTATCTGACAGTAAAAACAGAAGTGAGGCTTGTTGTTCCCCTTTCCTCTGCCTCATAATCCAAACAAAAGAATCTCTGTCATAACACAACTGCTGAGCGCTCTTCAAAACACAGAGAGGGAGAGAGATTCAGCATGAATGTGTAAGGGTAAAAAGAGAGAGAATGGACAGGCAGGATGTTTCTATTTTAGTTGGCACAAGTTCTGCTCACTTGTCTTACTTTCTCTTTATTTTTTCCTACTTTAACGCATCTATGAGTTATTGACTCACAATGTCATGTTTTAATTGGGTTTTTACATTTAAGAAGAATTTCATGCCATTAAACATCTGTTATTTTTAATGTTAGAAATCATATTCTGATGTACTTTACATGTCTATTCACTCAACTATGTATTTGTAGTATAAAAAAATCAAATGGTCTGAAAAAAAATACTAAATTGTTGGCTGAATACACAGAATAACCTGAAATAACAACCGAGACTTAGAGTAGAGATTAGCCAAATTTTATTTTAAATAAAATAAATATGCGTGCACTGCACACACACATACATAACCCTGTCCTTTGCAATTTTCCTGCACTCTAACACTTTAACTCCACCAAGAAAAAAAAAAGTTTAGATTGCATTTCTAACTCCTAATGTCACTAGTTAACACACTCAATATGCATTTTTTTCAACACATCACATAATTTCTAAAATATCATCCTTTACCAAATGGTATATGTCGGTTTAAAATAAAAAGAAAGAATTGAATATAAATAATCTTTATTTATTGAAGTTTGCCATAAAATGTTTCAGAATCTCATTTAACAAGTTTTCTTGTTTTTCTTTTTCTTTTTTTTTCTTTTTTTTCTTTTTTTTTAAACAATAAAACCAAAATCAAGTATGGTAGTGGAACAGTATTATGTTGTATTTGTATTTTTTGAAAACCAGAAATGCTGTGTGTAAGCCATTATTTAGAACAGTCATTCTTTAAATGACTTTAACAGTCATTATTTATAACAGTAAGAACATGGTCAACAGTTTGGTAGAAGGTCAGTCAAAGGGTTGATATGACCTAATAAATAAAAAGAGTCTGGAAGCACTGAAATACCTTTAATGCTTATTTAGCTTTTAAAATATTTTTGTACATGTCTGCTTTTCTGAGAAAAACTAGAAAAAAAACCTGAAGTATATTTAAAAAATCACATATGGTGTTTGTTCGAACTGCTTGTTTATTTATTTACTGCTCATTTTTGTTTACAACATAATTGTTTTATGTTCAATCCACTTAAATTTGTAAAAAGTTAACTTAATTCCTTTGTTGCCCCACATAAATCGATTTTGTGGAACCCAGCATTTTTACAGTGTGCTTACACCTGATGAAATTTCATCATCCATCCACCAATTTAAATGTACTGTATGATGCCACATCACAAACAACATATACACTCACCAGCCACTTTATTAGGTACACCTTACAAGAACAGGTTGGACCCACTTTTGTATTCAGAACTGCCTTAATCCTTCGTGGCATAGATTCAACAAGCTACTGGAAATATTCCTCAGAGATTTTGGCCCATATTGACATTACAGCATCACGCAGTTGCTGCAAATATGTCGGCTGCACATCCATGATGGAAATCTCCCACTCCACCACATCCCAAAGGTGCCCTACTGGATTGAGACCTGGTGATTGTGGAGAACATTTGAGTAGTGAACTCATCGTCA